GATGGTCCACTAGAACACGTGATAAAAAACAATGTAAAGATTCCATTGCTTATCAAATAGACTGTGATGTGCTTTCTGTATGTGTAATAATTTTTTTGTTTAAGATCACGTTATTTCACTTGAGGGGTACGGTGCGTAGGTGTAATTAAGAGTTTTCTTGCTGAAAACTATGATGTATCAGTTTTAGATGTTATTTACCACTGTAGACGCAACTACCACACACGATTCTGATTCATTCTGTGAGACTGTCTTACAGCAAACGTATTTGTATCAGAATGAGGGCCATCTGTGTATCTGTGGTGCCCTCACCTCTCGTATAGGGAAGAATACAGATTATAAAGAAGGGGTTGACGATGTACCAGAACGTCAAGTCTTAATTATGGACAATTAAATTCTTGAAAAATATAATTGTCGTATGTCAGCATTTCAGGATGTCAGCATTAACCACGAAATTTACGATCTTTCGGCTCTGTTTTTTTTCTCACCAAAATAATATTCTAATAAGAGCCCCCTATTTCTAATTTTGAGAGCGCCCTGGGCGCTTATTACGTCGAATACGATACTCGTATATATGTACCGGGTCGATTACGGGTCTCGGTAGGAAGTGATGCGTCAAATCGATAGCTTGACCAAGCTTGATAGCTCTGGACTAAGGCAATAGCCAAGGTCACCTGACATGGATTACGTATTAAATATAAACAATAGTAATTGATAAGCGTCACAGCTCGTTCAGGATGGCAGACAGTCAATGTACAATACAGTGGGGATTAACAGTTGGGATTAGCATCTTATAAATAACGGTAATTAAGTGATTCATGACATGGCTAAAAGGTAATTAGCCTTTGGAATTTAATGTTTATTCAGACACAGGCTGTCTCAAATCGGCCGTTGTGACAGACACGACTACCAATTTATATAAAGATCTTTTCGTCAACTTTCTGATTGACTGTATAACTATATAAAGCCATATTATTCCATCTATATGACGACGGTCTGTAAATAATCGAGTCTGGGCTAGACAATTCATTGACTGATATCATGAGCATCGATCTACACAATTAGGATACGATGACATGCATCAACCAAGTCAGCGAGCTCGGCCATCCGATCCCGTTAGTCGCCCCATGACAAGCATGGTCGCCATTTACGGCAAACATGGGTTGCTGAAGACCTATTCCTACCCGCATCTTCACAGGTGAAAATAATGTATGTACATGTATATATTCATAAAATGATTGCACTAAAGTCATAATTGAGATACAACATTGAATAAATTGTATGTTAACAGAAAGGAGTGAGTGAGTATTGTTTTACGCCGCGTTTAGCAATATTCCAGCAATATCACGAAATGGGCTTCACACATTGTACCCATGTTGGGAATAGCAGTGTCTTTCTAATTCACATTACAGACTCCAAGTGAGTGTTCCATGGACAACCCAAATGGAAGCAGCTATGAGTTGGCCTACCAAGATGATGGTCCGTCTTGCAGGAAGCGAATGAAACTGAAAGACGACAAGCTGTGTGGAGTTTGTGGGGACAAGGCGCTTGGCTACAACTTCAACGCCATCACCTGCGAGTCTTGTAAAGCATTTTTCAGGAGAAATGCTCTGAAAGACAAGGTAAGGTCACTGAAGCAGGAGTAGACTTGAATCAAACAGTGTTACAAGTCAGCTTGTACCAGACAAATAAGGAAAGACGTGTTGTGTTGTGTTGTCCCAGCCTTAGGATTTTATTTTTTTCAAGACTCGTCCACAGGACATGTGGATACTTTATTTCACTTGTCCTGAGAGTTTGTAGCAAGTTCTTCTTAATCAAGACAAATATATTTACTATGTTTATATTTTGTGTAAGTTTTATTCAGTTCCAATTTGTAGCGCAATTGAAGTATTGAGAACCGGTTCAGAATTATTGCCCTCAAATGCTACTAGTCTGTGAACTACCATGACCAGATTTTTACTTGTCCTCAACACAATTTAGTTATCAGAGTGAGTGAGTTAATGCTTAATGTCACATCGGCAATATTTCAGCCATATCGTGATGATTTAGTTATCAGAGTGAGTGAGTTTATGCTTTACGTCACATCGGCAATATTTCAGCCATATCGTGACGATTTAGTTATCAGAGTGAGTGAGTTAATGCTTTACGTCACATCGGCAATATTTCAGCCATATCGTGACGATTTAGTTATCAGAGTGAGTGAGTTAATGCTTTACGTCACATCGGCAATATTTCAGCCATATTGTGACGATTTAGTTATCAGAGTGAGTTAATGCTTTACGTCACATCGGCAATATTTCAGCCATATCGTGATGATTTAGTTATCAGAGTGAGTTAATGCTTTACGTCACATCGGCAATATTTCAGCCATATTGTGACGATTTAGTTATCAGAGACTAGTGTGAATTTCAAAGACTGTTCGCCCAGAATTCCTGTTCAGTGAGCTGTGGGCTAGTTGGATGTAACTCCTGGTGTCTACTGTGTCGAAAATGTCTACCGGTATGTTTGTTTTTGTGACCTGATAGGTAATGGCCTGATTTTCATTTTGCAATTATCAGGTGCTAATTTCTGTCTATAATAATTTGTAAAGTTTGCAGAAAAGATGAAAATATAGATGATTTTCAAAAATGCAACATACCAGTATTGTCCAAGCATTTGTGATACGTATTCGTTAGTATTTCATATCGTGGTAGATGGGTAATACCGCACATCTCTAGTTTCCTTGGGGCGGTCGGGTAGTCTAGTGGTTGAAGCCTTCGCTCACCACGCCGAATATCCGGTTTTGATTCACGACATGGGTACAATGTGTGAAGCCCATTTCTGGTGTCCCCTGTCGTGATATTGCTGGAATATTGCTAAAAGCGGCGTAAAACCATCTCACTCACTTTAATCTCATTCCTGATTCATGAACATTGCTTTCTCAGGCAAAACATGTGCTCACTATCATGAGGAAATACCTCCGGTTTCGAAGCTTCGTATGAATCATCATTTTTCTAAGGCTGCCATGTCAGTATCCGTAAAAAAAATCATATATTGTTTTACCGACATAATGAAATACGGAAGTAACATCCACTGGGGTCTTTTCGTAGCTTTAACATGTATAAATTGGTTTCAAGTGACGCTTTCTTGCTGAAATCTGCTACAAGGTTCGTGATTTGTCAAAATTAAGCATGTTAAGCATGTCACCTAAGGCAGCCAATCTAATTACAGCACCAGTACTGTCCTCGTGTATGATAATTTTAAGATTTTGACGAAATGTTTTGATTAAATCATGTTATTCTGAACGTTTTAAGCAGGAAATCGCGATCTTTATTAAGTGCTAGGTTATACGAGCTGTGACAAAGATTTCTTATGCATATATTTTGGCATTAAACATCGTGCACGAGCCGAGAAATAGAGGCAACGAAAGCCGAGATGACATTTGACTTACACTACATTAGATGTCAGTTTGGCAACTTTTAGATATATTTTAGTTGATTTATTTATTACTTTGTATAATATATTTAAAGATTTGCTTGAAACGTCTTTATTTTTCTGTTTGACATGTTCGATGAGGACCCATTGTCAAAGTGTGTGTCGGAGAATTTTATTTTCAATAACATTGCGGGAAATAGTGAATAATCTGTTGATAAAAAATGATAAATTGAAATGGAATATGTATTTCAGACATTGCAAAATGTGATAGATTTAATGAATGAATGATATGACAGGTGAGTTAATAAAATTATACACTACTTTGACGTGTCTTGGCCGGTCTACCTGCCTGCGGTGACTGGTTACTTATGGCTTCTTGGCCGGTGTACCGGCCAACAGTGTTGAAAGAGTTAAACTGGTCACCACTGCACTTTGCATTGACAAGCTTCGATGGATCCCAGCGAGAAATATCAGAGTGACTTCCCTTTGCTTTACACTTGCCGAGCAAATGAATTTTGTTTTGTTGAGCTTTTTATGCATTTTTTTAAGTAAAGATCGGCGGTGATAAAAAAGGAGTAATTTTTATTTTTATTTTTTTCAACATTTGGACTTTAAAAAAGCGGCACATCCGTAAACCAAAGTAATAAAAAAAATGTCGCCTAAGGGCAACTTAGAAATAACATTGTTGATAAGAGTAGCTTGTGATGATGTTGATTATATGAAGCCATTACTATTATGAGTGTACATTTGTCAAGTGGGTGAGTGAGTGAGTGAGTGAGTGAGTGAGTATGTTTTTATGGCGCTTTTGGCAATATTCCAGCAATATCACGGCGGGGGACACCAGGAATGGGCTTCACACATTGTACCCATGTTGGGAATAAAACCCGGGTCTTCGGCGTGATGAGCGAACGCTTTAACCACTAGGCTACCCGGCCGCGCCTAATAGAAAAGAGAGTAGCACTTAGGAAGAATGAGTTATGCTTTTGTACATGGCGTAGAGAGTTGCAACTACGGATTGTCAAAAATGATCATTCATCATTACATAACATAATTTAATTAACAATAGGTTCTAAAGATAGAAACAGCGGTTCAAATTGAGAAATTTTGCAGAAAAAGACAATTATAAAATGGCATTCATCTTCAACAACTCTTAAATTGCATTTGTTTAACAATTGTAGCTACTTATGTAATCCCTCGAACTTGAATCTGTTCACTAAGTTCCTTGAATCAGGGCTTCTATCTTTAAAAAGTCACACTGGTGCACGGAGCATCAGATATTGATATTAGAACGATTACTGATACTATCGGCAACAGAGCCGCCTGTTCTAAACGACCCTATGGTTGCGCCTCGAAGGTCACAACGATTGGAGACTATAAATATTTCTGTAGGAATTATATGCCATTCAGTAGGACTAATACTTGTACTATTGTATGTCTATTTGCATAGCACTTAATCGATGCGCAAGAAAGTTGACCCAGATATGCAATGTCTCCTTGACCTTTCTATATTCTGACATTGAATCAGATATGTACATTCCGGGTCAAAGTTATTCGTTACCACTCGCCCCTTTCCGTAACCTGTCCCGGAATAACACGAGTTCGTCACGAATGGGTCGAAGTCTCGCTAAGCAAGATGGCGGACGACTCGGATGTCGAGGTAAGATATAGGCTATATTGTGCAGTTAGGTTCTCGTGATTGTACATGTTTCTGAGCGACAGGGTGTTTGTGTGTATTTTCACTCGTCTTACAAGCTAAACATACATTATTTCAAGATGACATGCCTTGATTGTGCTGATTCGTTCGACAATCAGTTGTTGATAAGCGACGATCGGCGATCAACGAAACATCTTGTATCTACAGTCGTCGATAACAACACAATTGACAAATCTCGGCCCCCGGCAGTTAAGTTGTGTTTTGTATACGCCACCATTTACCACAAAAAGAGAGTTTCCATAAAAAACAGTGGAATATAAACGATTTTGTGTGTAGATCTAACCGAAAAAAGTAAGTTACCACTCGACCGACTAATTTTACTATTTTTAGTCGCGATGCACATGACTGATTACAGTTGGCCTGCTACATCATCATGCCATGTTTGCGATGTAATAATCACTTTATGTATATGAAATTTTAAAATTATTTTTTTCTAGAATAAACAAACATCAAATTGAAAAATGTCATCCCTATGTTGGTTCAAGGAGGTGCAGTTTGGGTCAGAAAGTGCAGTTTTCTTGTTTTTACATCTTCATGTATAATTAGTGAGTTCAACATGTTGTATTATCTCCAAAAGTACAATAGGACTGGGGAAAAAGTGTCTCACTTACATGCCCCTCTCCCTGCAAACATTGTTGAATTAATATATAAATACAGTAATTCTAATAATCACGATATGATATACAGTGTGATGTGATATGATATCCATACTCACCTATTGTCTGTGTTCACCAAACAGTAATTATTGAATTCTCATGTACTGCACATTTTACCCACGTGATTTGACTTAAAAATCCCTAACATGGGTTGGGTGGGCTATTAGTGCTGTTAATTATGTGGACTGTGTATCGTGTATGCATACTAATATGCTGTATGGACATGTAGGGCAAACCTCAATCTTTCACCATCTATTATTGGACAATCAGCATTCTCATTCTGTGGTTGAAGGCAGTATATTGATTTGTTAATTACTGACTGGATATTGACATTTATTAGCATACTTAAGAGCTGCAGATTAGCAGTGTATTTGCGTAAAATACCCGCACACACACCCCAAAAAAAAAAAAAAAAAAAAAAAAAAAAAAAATGATAAGAAAAAAAACCCATAAAAATATTCAAAACCCAATTACATGTACTTTCAGTTAACTTGCATACAGAAATGCATGCAATAAATGAAAAACTTAATTGTTTGAAAACAGCACACATAAATACCCAATGAAGCTTTTTCAGCATGTGTACAACAGAGCTAATTTCGGAAACACAATGAGCTAATTACTTTCCGAGTCAACCGAGAACCATTATATACATCTAAAACATGATTTCATTTTTTTAAAAATCTCAAAATGCTTACTCATTTGGGGAAAAAACCAACAGAGTGATAGATAGATGAGTGAAAAAATATTGATGACCCAATTCAAATAGAAACCTTTGAGTAAAAACTCAATTGCTCAAAAAGTTGTCTGGACCTCTGTCTAACAGCCATTAAATGGTACCTAACCCTAATGATCGTTAAAGGTGATTGATCGTTAAGGGGATCCAAGGGCGAAAGATAGAGTTTGGGGGTAACCTACCCTAACACTGGCGACATTTGATATGTGTTCAGCACCAATATGATATTACCTAATAAACTGCATCCAAGTGCATAATGATAAAAAATAATGAATAAAAAAATAATATATGTATATTAGTTCCCATTTATCATCATTTTAGCCACTTGATTTATGAGAAAAACAAAAATATATTAAAAATAAAAGTGCTTTCGTAAACTAGCGCTTGCTATTAAATGCGCTGCTGCAGGCTATATTTAGTAAACAAATATTCAAAACTCTTTAACATCGCTGGTCATATTCCATGACATTGCGCGTAGTGATGATGGATCACTGGGAGGAGCTTATGCACACTCAATGACCCCTGATGTCACTGGGCATTGTATCATCTGTGTGACTGGCAACAAAATACTACAAATTGCGTCACAGGGTATTGTCACGTGTTTGAAAAGTTTGTGGTACTGTATTCTAAAGGTAGGCCAAATTTAACAAGTGAAGTACAAACATGGCTGTATAGTAATGTGGTGAATAATCCTATCCTGGGTACTTTGGATTTTACTGACGTGGTATTTGAATCTGGGGACACCTCTAATATCAGACTTTAAGATTAGTTAAAGACAAAGACCCCTTTTTATGAACTTTTGTGCTAATTACACTGTTATTAATTTAATATTACAGTGGTGTATCGATATGTTATGAAATACCGTAACACATACAATGGTAGGTGTACTTTAGTCGAAACAAAGTGTTTTTATTACTTACAGTTACACTCTTCAAAAAAAGAAATGCATAGGTAGATTTTTAGTACATGTATTGTACCTAATAAAGTCAATATATTTGATATAATATCATAGATACAAATTTGAAATTTTGGAGCTTGATAGTCACATGTTGTCGTTGTACAAAGGTATTGACTGTTCATTGTCATGTCACATAAGTCCACAAGGTAGCGCTGAACTCTCGCGTGATCGCCCCGGGCAGCAATCATGGCTCTGCATCTCCTCGGCACTGACTGGATAAGTGTACGAATTCTGTCCTGCAGAATTCTGCTCCATTCTGCTTGTAATGCGTTGGCCAGTTGTGGGAATTTTCTGTGGCGTGTTCTGATGTTAACCTACTCGTCGATCGAGTTCATCCCAGAGGTGTTCGATTGGGTTGAGATCTGGAGATCTCTGTGGCCAGGGCAAAGCGTTGATGTTGGCATTATGGAGGTAGTCTACCGTGACACGAGCATTGTCCTGTTGAAACAGGTCCCTCTGGCGGTCAATGATTGGAAGAAGGTGAGGTTGAAGAATTTGATTCATGTAGCGATTTGCTGTCAAATTTCCCTGAACCACAACCAAGTCAGATCTCGTGGTGTTGGATATGGCCCCTCACAACATGACACTACCACCACCGAAATTGTCGAATTCATTTATGGGCAAAACGCTCATTTTCACGACGATAAACACGTGTGTATCGGTCCCAAAGGCAGCAAATGGTGCTGTGGTGGATGTTGAAGTGGCGTGCAACAGAAGACTGCGATTCCCCTCTTTGGATACGTCCTATGGTGATGTTCTTATCGACAGCTTGAGTCTCAGCATTTTCGAACTTGTAAAATGTTGACAATTTAAGGACAAATTATCGGCTTATGCTTGCCTTTTTATAGCCACTACCGCGAGTTACGAATGCCATAACTTGCACATGCATTTTGCTTTACTGTTTTCCTCCATGACATTTTTGAACAAGTGTGAAAACAATGCCGTTTAAGACATTGCAAATCGACAATGGCTGCGTTTTGACGCACCATTTGTCAAATATCAGGCCACCAACATTTTCCGATATCATATATCCAATTTATATTCCGGATTTTTTGTGAAGTCAGCGTCAATGAACTACATACTACCTGTGCGTTTCTTTTTTTGAAGAGCGTATTAAGGAATCTAGCCTTTATTGATATCATGACATCATGTTTGATGTGACCTCATACTGTTGCCAGCTGGTGACACCACACTTTACCCTTTTCACACCTTGAGTTCGTATTCTGAGAGTCCATTGATTTTGTTGGAGGACTTTTGTATGAATATGTTCACCATTTGATTGGACATTCTTCTCTATCCTAACCAATTATAAAAATAATCTATTGGGCATTTTAAATGACAATTATTCACTGTCCTGGAAAATGAAACGTTTACAATCCCTGCAGTCCAGCACGTCTCATTGCACTGCAGTCACAACTAACGCAGAGAAATGTCAAATATTTCAACGAAATGATTCTTGATTGTGTACTCATAATGATACATTTGTTACATTGCCAATAGCAGTGAGTACAGGGTTTTATAAGTATGTTCAGCTCGTGAAATGATGTTGACACTCATATTACATGAACAGTGTTGAAATAAAGCTGTCATGTTGTTTCTATGCGTTCACAAGAATAGGTCTTCAGCAACCCATGCTTGCCGTAAAAGGCGACTATGTTGTAAAAGGCGACTAACGGGATTGGGTGGTCAGACTCGCTGACTTGGTTGATGCATGTGATCGATCCCAATTGCGTGGATTGATGCTCATGATATTAATCACTGGATTGTCTGGTCCAGAGTCGATTATTTTCAGACCGCCGTCATATAACTGGAATATTCCTGAGAGCAGCGTTAAACAACAAACAAACAAATCAACCAAATCACTGGGGTAATGTGTCACATGCTGAATTGCTGGTGTTGAATATGACATATCAAATCCTGGAACTCATGAGCGCAAGTTTCCCACTAAATTGAGGATTGTAAGGTTACAGATTTTGTATGCAGGGTAGATTTGAGAAAAGGCAATATCTTGTAGAATTAGTGATTGGTCGAAAAGTTAACTCTGAAAAGGTGAGGCAACCTAGAGGGGGCTTTTAGGGGTGCTAAATGGAGATTTTGTGAGGTTGTGTGGCTGTGTGTTTTTATAGGTTTAGAACCAGCCAGTACATGATTTAAATACTTAATCCCTCACATTCTGTTTCCTTAATTGCAACATGTGTAAAAGTACCTTTTGACTTTGATAATCTTAACAGGGTGTTGCAAAACTTTCCAGCTGCAATTAAGGCTATTGTTAACAAATTCCATTAATGTCATGGTGCTAAACTTTCCAGATTTACGGTGTCTACACAGAAATATTGCAAATTGTCATTAATGTTGTTTCGTTCATGTTGCATTAAAGATTTGAATGTTAATTAAGAATTAGAAACATTTGGATCAATGGACCAATAAATGGTGGTATAAAGGCAAACCTTGGAAGATTAGATGTTATCAACTTGTGTTGATATATTTGATATAAAAAGACATGAGGGTGGGATTCTATTTATCATATAGAATTAATTTTACAACTTTTTAATATAATAAATAAATAACCAGTGTCTTGAGCGTGAAAGAGCAGCTA